CACACAGATGGACGGATGAATGGACGAACGGACGGACGGCGCAGGTGAGCATGTATTGTGCTGTTATATAATTGATTGATGTGCACATAAAGTCGGGTTTTCACACCGATGTTTTCATTTTTGGTTCTGCAAGCATTAAGTTTAGGTGTTAGTTTTATAGAGTGCGACGGCTGCCAACAAGGTTCGGCCCTAGAGAACTTTGCCCCTAAAAACTTCTGACATTGAAGACACCAGTACGTCCACTACTTGAGCAGGCATCCCCAGTCTGCTCAATGGGACATTGCGTGGCCCATTACAGTAACAAATAACTAAATAATTGTAGTTTCAATACTGCAAAATCTAATCATTTACAAGTGTAAACAGCTGACTGAAATAGCCTGCCTGGCTATATATCCAAACATGCGTGTACTTATGAAGGTTTACTAGAAACCCAGGGGTGGTGCGAGGATTATTTTACCGGGGGGGGGGGGGGGGCACGATAAGTGAGTTTCTTCAGGTGGGGGGAGGTAGCAGGGAGGCGGTAAACTTGGACATTGCTTTATGATTGTGTTACATTTTGTGGGGGGGGGGGGGGGGGGGCAGGTGAAAATTTTTGGGGGGCTTCAGCCCCATCGTGCCCACCCCTCGCACCACTCCTGTGGAAACCTGATCTAACTTCACATTTTCAGCAATACCCTTTCACGCAATAAGACCACTAGAAGACAAACTTGCAAGACTTGGTGAACATTCATATTTTGCAGGCTATAGTGCTGGACAGACCGACCTAGAGAAAAAAGAAAATCGCAACGCTGCGCTCACTTCACGATCATCTTTATTTCTCTATACCTGTCTGTTTAGCTCGGTCTACGGTACATTTCATATCCCTGCCGTGGTGGTCTAGTGGCTAAGGTACTCGGCTGCTGACCCGCAGGTCGCTCGATCGAATCCCGGCTGCGGCGGCTGCGTTTCCGATGGAGGCGGTAATGTTGTAGGCCCGTGTGCTCAGTTTTGGGTGCACGTTAAAGAACCCCAGGTGATCAAAATTTCCGGAGCCCTCCACTACAGCGTCTCTCATGATCATATGGTGGTTTTGGGACGTTAAACTCCACATATCAATCAATACATGTCATATTAAACCAAATGATAGCTGTTAAGGGAAAGAAAGGTGAAGTTACCTAAAGAATAATGTGTCCAGATTTCATGGACACCAAAGCGCACGGCGAGGGCAGAGCAAAAGGGTGTGAGAGGTCTAGGTAAGTCGTTCTCAAGCAGTGTTCCACAAAAAAGGGGTCCGCGAAACCATTTCTGTAAGGGCGTAAAATCCATTCACGAAAAAGAGCGTGGGTTTCATGAACCGTGCGCGAAAGACGTTGGTACATTTTCGGGATGATTGTATATTGCATATCTGAAGAGCAAACATACCTATATAAACAGAATGAATGTGACTGCATAAATCACAACATCTTAAAAAGCTATCGAGACTGGATTGGCTTGGCACTCTAGTTAGACCATTCTTTGCCAGAGAGAAAGGTGTGTGTGTGTGTGTGTGTGTGTGTGTGTGTGTGTGTGTGTGTGTGTGTGTGTGTGTGTGTGTGTGTGTGTGTGTGTGTGTGTATGTGTTAGAGAGAGCGAGAGAGGTACTACGTATGAAGACCTTCCATCAAACTGTTTTCTTAAGTTTTATTGTTGAGTCTAAGACAGCACTCAAACGCTGTTTTGCCCGACGTGACAATCTTGTCTGTCAACGCTTTGCACGAAAGTCTGAACATCGCTTCTACTTCAAAAGATTATGACAGACGATCTCAATGTTGAGACTTCTTAATCATGTGGATGCCGAATTTAGCAGTCTGCCCACTCAATTGCTTGAAGCTTGGCGTCTCTGCCGCCGCTCGCTGCGTAACGACAACAGGTACCGCTTTCTGCTCACTTGAAATTGTACAATCAAATGACTAAGCAAAATTTAAATTAGGATAGAAGAAAAAACAGCTTGAAAACAAACGCATTCCTTCTACGTCTTGAGCTCGGTGTATTAGCAATGCTGATTAAAGTGCTATAGCCTAAAAAATGGGCTCACACCAAGAGGTTTATTGGCCTCAATCACAAAGGCTCTCCCAAACATACCACGAGAGAGAAAACAGAAAGAAAGAAGGGCCTTTTGCTAAGTCCTCACGCAGATTGCAATTATGTTGGAAACGATTCTTATTGGACTTTGCCTATACGAACAATGGCCTCTTCCAGACACGTCACTGCGGCACATCACACGTAAAAAGAAAAAGTAGGCGACCCCAGTCCCCATTCTTCCCCCCTCTTCTTCCTCTGTTTTCCTTCACCAACGTTCACGTCTTGAGCGGCAATCAGCAACCACTTCGTTTCGACTCACTGCTACAAACTAATTCACCCCTCTCGTGAGCCTTAATTAGGCTGACTGCTTGTTTTCCCTAATCCCGACAGTTTCGATAGCAAAGAAATGCCTTCGGGGCATTCTGAGAAGAACGATGTGTGCCCTTGACTCCTACTCGCTCTTGCACAAAGACATTCGGCTCTAACACTGATTACTAGAGCGATGCAATTAGAACGCGTTCGCGTATACGCCATACGTGCACTGCAACGGGACGGTGAACTCACCAACGGATGACGTCAGCCAATACGCAGGAGAGATGCCCAATACAAAAATAATAAAAAATTACTCCAAGTGCAGTAACTCTAAAATTGGCTCGTTCTGCCTAATCAATCCTCTCAGAAGCCCGTAGAAAGCGATTTTCAGTTTTCCCTATATAACCAGACAACTGAATTGCTTTGCCGAATCGACTGGTGACTGTGTAGCCTTTTCAAACTCGAATTTTTTTCTGCGTAGCCCTTGGCCATCTTTGATTAGCTAAGCTAGAAAGACACCAGCAATACTAAATGTGCGGTTCTAGCAAGAGCGCAATAAGACATAAGGTGGGAGAATACTTTACGCAGATAAAGTTACATGGTACTTAACAGTTTATTCAGACTATGCTGCAGCAGTTTCAAAGATTAGCATAATCAAATCACTTGGAGATAATGGTTTATATGGTGAAAAATATTTTGAAGTTAGGTTTTCGTGCATAGGGGAACCACTCCGGGTTCCCCTATGCACGAAAACCATTATGCCATTAAAAAAAGGTGCCAGAAAATAGGCCACAGAAGAAGGTGGGGGGGCGAAGGGGTTCTGTACTAGTTTTGGGGCTCAGTAGGAGTATTGGCGGTGAAACTAAAGCCGTAAAGCCTAATAGCACCATTGCCATATTCTTGTGAGACGTTAAAGCTAAGCGAGCGTCGTTACACCAAGCATCAGTCAAACTGACCTTCCGGTTGCGTTGACTGGGCTTGTGATTATGTGCCTTCAACACGCACAAACCTTCATCTTTAGCGACTGCAGAGCTAATAACATAGATATCGTTGTGGTGAAGAGTAGCGTTATAATAGTCGTCCGCTAGTTGTACCCACGTGCGATTCATCTGTGCTTCGATGTCGGTTTTTGGGGACAAGTTAGGTGAATTTCATTACTAAGTAACAATTACCAAGGTCCTATTTTTAAACCTTGAAGCTATTACAGGATCTTCGTTGTAAGGGCTACCGTTCTCTAACTTGGCCTGACAGTCTGTCAACACGACAGAAAAATTTCATGAATATCATACTTTTCTCTTTCTTTCTTTCTTTCTTTCTTTCTTTCTTTCTTTCTTTCTTTCTTTCTTTCTTTCTTCCTTTCTTTCCTTCTTTCTTCTTGCTTTCTTGCTTTATTTATTGATTTCCTCTTTTTTTCTTCCTTTTTTCTGTATTTCTCATTTTTTTGTGCGGATAGCATTGGTGTGCCGACTCATCACTACCATACCACGCTTTCAACCTACTACCTATTGGCATTCGCTTATGTTTCCAATAAAGTGTAAGAACCAATTCAGGAACATGGCAACAGCTGAGTATGGGCGCCTGCCATGAATTGACTTCCGGTACGTGTGAAGCAACAAAGCGTAGCCTTGTTAGGCTTAAACACAATATTAATCTGTCTTTTAAAAAAAATGTTGCCCAGTTTGCCCTAATGATCAAGGATATTAACGCGTGCACTGTAAGGGTCAGTCACCGAATAATTTGCACAGAAGCACTGCTTCAAAGTGGCGATTATCACGAATGACTTACCATGGAGGCTAGTAAGGAGGAGGTTAACTGTGCTATGGAATTTCCGATTTCAACTACCATTGTCACAAGGCCACATTAGCGAGTGCGGAGAGCAAAGGCGAAATAGCGCAAGTGATGCAGCAGATGGTAAAATTGGCCACGCTAAGGCGCTTCACCTGTTCGTGTGTTCGCGCTGTTTCACAGGAAGGAACGGAAACCTAACTTACCACGCTAAGGATACTTAAACGGCAGTTTGAAAAGCGCACGGATCAAAATCAATGCAACCGAGGAATAAAGAATTATATTACTATATGTTTTGCACGCTTCATATTCAAGAACGTGTGCGGAAAAGACCACATCACGGAGAAAAGAAAAAAAGAAAGAAATACGAAAAGCCCTTTCTTCTAAGTTGAGGAGGGAGGGCGAGTCACTAAGTTGAGGAGAAGGGGAGGGCGAGTCACACAAACGCACTTTTTGCGTAGCAAGGAAGAAGAGAAACCTTTCCCACATGCACTCAGTCATCGCTTTATAGTTTTGGGCCGCCACACGTACGCAACCAAGTACTGAATGAAAGGTTTTGCGGGCCGATTCCTTGCTAAGGGTCGCAGGTGCACGCCCCCTCCTTCACATGTGCTCGACTACGCGAAGGTCGCCCAGAGCGGGAGTTTTGCCTGAAGAATAGCTGTTTCGTCTCGACCTGCGAGTATACCCTGCTACGGGAAAGGAGTGAACAGAAAACGAGTACTGTGAGGAGGCAGTGAGAAAGGGAGAGAGAGATGAACCCGTGTGCATGGCCAGCGAAACCTGTCCAGCAGAGACGTGACCCAAATACACGACAGAGCGGAGAAGGGAGCCGGCCTCTCCCTTTTGTGGGTCAGCCCGCGCCGTCGTTTCCGCTCCGGCGGTCGCCCACGTTCTTCGGCGCCACGCAACGCGAAAGGCAAATCGGCCGCGCCACAAACACGACGACCAGCGATGCAGCGAAAACACGGGGGAATCCACTCATCTGCCACCGTCGACTCACGTTCAGGGAGACCCCGGCAGCCGCAACGAATTGGCCTCTGTGGAACGGGACCGGTCGTGACAGTCTGCCTCTCGGCGACACCGTGCGCAGAAAATAAGGGGATCTCCTGGTGACAGTGTGTGGTACAACGCGGCGGTTCAGTGCCACGTCGGGGCTTCGAATGAGCGCCAAGTAGCAACACAACAGCAGCGAGGACGGCACCGCGCTTGTTTTTTTGCCGCATACTCGACTGAATCCGAAAACACTGCGGTGAGACGACTGCGTGGGTGCACGGTGGAGGCTCGCGTAGGTGCCGCGAACGCAACAGGTGGCGTCGTATAGCGTGCGGCGAACGCATCAGGCGTGCACCAGTTCGTGAAGGGAAGATCTGCCGGTTATAGTTTGTTGTGATGTTCGTGCCTTTTTGTGACTGGAACGGCGACAATACGGGAATACCAATAGCGCGAAAAAAACGACGAACACTTCCATTGTTCTACGTTGAATCGACCGTTTGTCCGCACGCCTGTTTACAGGTGTCCGACCTTTGTGGCAATCAGTGAGCTATGCGCCATTGCGGTGCTACTTGAGGGAGTGACCGCTAGTCAAACAACATCGTTTGTGCCTTCGCGATACCTGAACTTCTGCCTTTGTTACTTGTATCTTCTAAAGGATTGCCACCAGCGCCAAGTTTGTGATCAAGGAGCAGTGAACCACATGACGGAATTATAAGCTTGTGACTGGACAAACGCTCCCTTGAAGGTCAGTATGTCGGCATGCATTCTATATAAAAAAAAAATATCGCATTGATGCTTACTTTCTGAAATGGTATAAAGTTCTGTACGATATACAAGTAATAGTATTTATTTGCAGTTGCTACATTGGCGCTTTTGTGTCCCAGTGCCGGTTAAATGATCGAGCCATATTTGACGGATGATAACTCTTACATAATGTGGCTATGTTAGCCGGCTTCTTGTATGTCCTGGTGCTTTTTTGTTATTCATTTAGGTGAGCCATTAACAGAGAGTATGAAATATTTCGCACGAATTTTTTTCTAACTTACAAAAAAAAAAAAAAAAACCTTGTTAACCAGCTGTCTCTGAAAGCTGCGTCCGTGCGAGAATTGAAAGGACACGTATTTCTCGATCCCGAGTCATTTCGAGAAATGTGCCTGGTACCAAGAAATGGCACGTTTCTTCGAGCAAGGCCTGTTAGACGAATTAATTATTGGTTTCGTTATTACATTTTTTTTCTTTATAATTTCTGAGTTTTAGTTTCACGGCTCTACTGATAAAGGTTTCGAAATGTCAAGCATGAATTAGGAAACCGTGTGCCTTTCAGTTAAATTCAATCCCGGTGCGTTCGAATGAAGGAAAAAAAAAAAAGAGGATCGCGTCAGTGTACAGGGAAGCGAATCCCATTTCCTGCCAGAACCTTCCGCAGATTTCTGCGAAAACGACGGTTTTCCCTGCGGGCGGATTTCAAGGGAATTCAGGTGCCGCGTCCGACGCCGAATAACACGCTCGAAATAAACCGCAATAGTATGACATTCCCGATGACAGCCCCGCGGCTTCTGCTTCGTTGAAGTTGCAAAGGAGATCACCGCGCACGCTTACTTGCTTCGTCATACTGGACGCTTAGTTTCCCCGTGTTCTCAGCACAGCGCTCCAGGCTTGAGCATGAAATTTAAAAACAAGTATTTGGAAAGGAAGTCCTAAAACGAAGAAAATATTTTTTTTTTTCATCTTGGACGCTTTCAACGGACGAGTGCCTGCTTCGTGTACACTACTTCCGCTTAAATGAGACCTCAACTTCTCCCGGATTTTCTCCCCGAGGGGACTTGCACGGGAACACCGGCGTCGAATATCCTCGGCTTTGTAACAAACGCCCCAATCCGGTCGTCCTGTCAGCTTTACGCTCTTGTCTTTTCTTTCTTTTTCATTTTAACTTTTTTTTTCTACGTTCGCTTTTACCTGGCGCTTCTTTCTGCCACTGGCTATCACGCTGCAGCCTATGAAGCAACTGTAAAGGAAAAGAAAAAGAAAAGAACCTGCTGCCCCTTCACGGCCGTCGTCAATCAAAATTTACACGCCGTGTCATGTTTAAAGCCGAGCGGCCCCTTCGTAAGTCCCTCCCACGGAACGACCGCTTCCTACCTGTCAACTCGCCACTGTGGGCTGGAGAAAGAGTGAGGAGTATAGATGGAGGAGGGGATGAAGGGAGGGAAAAGGCAGGCGACCTTGCCTCAAACAACATTCGTACCCGGATTGAGATCCCCTGCCAAGATTCAAAACAGCCAGGCGACGACATGAAGCCAGTCTTGGAAAGATGAGCGAAGCGATACTTATACTTTGCGAATAAATTGCGTAGTTCTAAGTAGAAAAAAAAATCGACCGCGTGTCACTACTTGAAGTGTATCCCACATATTATCGGTTCCATCAGCTTGCGTTTAAGAATGAAACGGCCATTTTATTCTAGCTCCTTTCTTGTTTATGCACTTTGCACGACTTCATTATTTTGCAGCTGCGGCAGGGAACGATCCATTGGCATCCTGCTTATACCGTTCACAAGCACTAACGGCCGCAACACTAAGTTGAATAGAAAACCTGGAATTAACTACTTCATTTGCAAGCGACGTGAATTATAAAAAGCCAACCACGACTGTTATTGAACGCCTGGTTTGAGGCAGAGTCTTACAGACAGCCGTGAAAATTCAAGCTATAACGACTGCTTTTTACACGCAATACACGCCGTACAAGCACGCACTTACAAGGAAGTATCTGCATGATAGTTCGTTGTGTAGACAAAATAAACGTCTCATAATCGCATGAGCCCTTGCACGCAAGAGAAAAATGGCAACTCGCAGTGAGTGCGACTTCCACTGAAGCAATGTCAAAAAATCCAGTGAAACTAAGCAGGGTTGTCGGGTAGAAAAGACAAAAATAACCAAGATATTTCAAGAACTAGCCGAAACGCACCTAGCTAGAACAACTAGTACTAAAGTAGCAAAAAGTAGTCACACATGGGTGCAAAAAGTGACGATTTTCGTTGAAGTGACCAGATTGAAGAGCCTTTCGGCAGAAATGCAGATAGGTGCAGAAAGAACCCTTCAAAATTTTAAATGCTGTGATTAGACCAGTAATCTTACACTCTAGCAATAATTGGTGCAGGATAACAAAGTTGCCTACACTAACTAACTCAGAAACGACACACTCGAGACTTGCAGGACTTTTCTTGAACGAACTATAAAGGCGACACCTGTGGCTACAATACTTTCAATATAGATTGGGTACGCTCACGGTTACTGTGGTTATTTGCTGAAGTTGTAGGCACTTTTACAATCACTTCTCGCATAATCAGCAAGTATGAGCTGGTAAGTCCGCCATCCTTCCTAAGAAATAACACACACAGCTTGTCACATAACCTCTTTCTTGAGTCGCTCTGTTCAGAGCGACCTGTGTGCGCAGCAAGCAAATTCGACCATCTTGTTCTTCCAATTAGATTTTAATGTCGCGTTTAGTAATACGCGAACTGCAGGTGGCTTCTCTTTAGTAGTTTTACTCCAAATGTGAGCCATATATTCAGAGGTTCATTGTGGAATGTAAATAACAACTGAAGGTTCGGGAATCTAAAACATGCCTTGGCCACCATGTTCCGGCCCCGCATACTTAAATGCTGACGGCTACGATGGGGCAAAGTGTTGATAATTTGATTTAAATAGAGGCTCAAAAATGTAGCCAGAAAGTAGCTAAATAGCCACGCCATTTTTCTCTCGCCACCAGCCGATAAAATGGAGGCAAAGTGGCGGAAAATTTTTTAATTTGCCAACTCTTAAAGGGACACTGAAGACAACTACTAAGTCGACATTGATTGTTGAAATAGCAGTCCAGAAACCTCTTAGTGTTGCCTGACAAAGAAGGGCTTACTTTGAAATAAAATCACGTTTTAGTAATACGCATCGGGTTAGCGCACTTCAAACTACCCGCCTAGAGAAGCATACCGTTTCACGTCACTGTTGCCGTGCACAACGTTGCCCGGCTTAGCTGCATGGCCGCCGACACTAGTGGCAGCAGAACAAAAGCAGCGGGAGCCACAGCAGCAACAATGGCCATTGATCAATTTCCTGCCATTGTCTCCGAGATGGCAGATTTGTTTCGGTTCAACTTAACCCCGCTAGTCGGCATTACCTGTCCAGGTCAACCATGCGAAAACTGAATATTTTAACGACTCACGCCATTCCTCAATGTAACGCCCGGTGATCCTTTTTTCCATGAATCAAACAGAAACGAACAAGCAGCATTTTCTTACTTCTCTTGACGCATAAACGCTTACTTATTTAGTGCATCCAGATCGATTACTAGCAATTAATTGTAGGCGGTTTGTCTGACGTCATCGGGATCATTTGGAGGATGTCCTATGCGGCGCATGTTTTCTTCTTTTTTCCCCTTCATTTCTCGATAAGAAGGGCACTGTTGTATATAATACTGCCGTTTTAGATGCTGTCATATAATGAGCTTTTGCTCTGACGTAAAATGTTATTTGACTTTAGTGTCCCTTTACACTAAGCGTACTTTCAGGCCATGTTAGGACACCATCGACCACAAGCAAGATTGTTGGCACTTTTCCTCCAAGATGCGTTGGAGTATTCGATTAGCTCAAAACATTTCGAAAGAATGGAGAGCTGGAATAGTTGGCAAAGTATGTCGTTTAAAGTGTATAGAATAATATAGAACAGTCTAAAGGACATAGAACCATTGACGCCGTAAAAACTTTGGATGTCAAAGATAGCTGCCGAGGGTACATCAAGTTGAGGTCATTGCCGGGCCCGTACCTAGGAATTTATTTAAAAGGATGTGCAGCGGCACTTGCTGAGAGCCTTGGCTATGTTAAAAAACACTCATCTTCGTTGCTAATTTTCACTAAAACAAGTAGCCCAATACGAACTTCTTCGTGGAGGTTGGAACTGGTCGGGCTCGCAGGACAACCCCCCGGCTATGGGCGGGTTCAATATATTTACTCTTTGCTCATCCCCTGTCTTATCATCTTTTTCATGTGACAAAAGTTGTGTAAAATCACAACACTCGAAAAGTTGACGTTTTTTTTTTCTTTAGTATCCTTCTATGTATCGCCAAGAACAAATCAATAGGTAAGGTGGATTGACGCATGGGGAGGAGGGGCTCTGCACGATAAGGGCTCTGTACACTATATGGATTGCTCTACCAGCACGCTCTCATCAATTATGAGAACATAATTCTTCTAGTTGCTGTGTTAACACAAGCGTCAATGATAGGTGGTTGTATGATTCTTCTTTCAAAACATGTCGACACAATTTCCTTCTATTCAAATTGCGATGGTTGCCTCACTCGAACTATCGCTATGTGTGTTGATGTGATTTTTAAATAAATGATCAGATCGCAGTATGGACTTGCATCATGGCCTTTTTCAATACTTTTGTTTGAGCTGTCGCTTTTAACTGAAGCGCTACGGGCTTCTGAAGTGAAGTCATGCACTTATAGGGCGCATATTAGCTCGGAGGATCTGAAGCGCATTTTTTTTTTCGTCATAAACTTAAAAGATATCAACCTGAATTAGGAAGACGTAGCTTCACTTTCAAGAATACTACGCGATAGCATCAGAGGACCTATTTATTATAATAGTAATATTTGAAGTTTAACGTGTCAAAACCCACTATGATTATGAGAGATGCCCTATTGGACGGCTTCGGCAGTTTTGACCACTTGGGCTTCTTTAACGTGCACCTAAATCTAAGAATACGGATCTAAAGCAATTGGGCCTCCAATCACAGGGCCGATTTCGCATCAACTTTAGCATTCTAGCGTGGCTTCTCTTCTTGGTAGGCAGATCAACTGGTGCCACAGGCAAAAAAAATAAGCATGTCGTGAGTAACATTTACCATCTCAAACTTCGCGCACTTCACGCATACCACTTCACTGGTAGCCTTGTTCGCCATGCTTTGTAGCTTTTGCCTACTAGCGACCACCAAGGCACCTAGAGATTGCCAGAAACCACTCGTGCTTCAGTCAATGCCATGGCACCGCCGGTTCCCACATTTTTTAATCTGCCGGGACACGTATCACGGCTGAGCACCGGACACGCGAAATCCATTTTGCGGCCGTCAATCACGCATTATAGAGAGGCTGTCGTGCCAACCCTCCCCCCACTTCTCCCCTAGGCCCTTCACCCTCTGAAGATCTGATCGTACACGCTTCAAGACACGGAAGCAAAAGTTTAGTGTGTTAAGGAGAGCGTCGATGAGTATGAAGAAAAAACAGAAGAAAAAGAACCCACGCTCAATGCAAATGAAAAGGGAAGTCTGCTATTACACCATTCTTGAAGGTTTTTGAGCTGCGTCCTTCTGCCTTCTTCCGCCCTTATGATTGTCATTTTTGTTAATATAGTTTTTTTTGCTACGGTTTTTTCATCGCTGGTGAATGCACGTACTAATCCAGAAGGCCGCCCAGAAGGAACTGACAGACTCTGCTGTGAAGCTTGCCGACACCGACCTCCGTGTGAGGCACGGAGCAGCAGACAGGGGGTGCACCCACCCCTGGCCTCACTTTCGCTCCGTTTTCGCTTTCGGCCGAGATGTCTTGAGATGGCGCGAGCCGGTCGGCTGCCATTGGCGTCTCTTGTCCGCCCGGGTTGTCATTAGACGAGCGTGGGGGGCGCAGGGACGGCGGGAGGGAAAACGGATTGCGCATGCTCCGGCGGGGCATTAGCGTGATGAATGAGGCTGCCTGCTGGGAGCGGGACGTAACCCTGCACTGACGCGCGTGTGTGCCACGCTAAGGCGAGCGTGAAGCATGAAGCCGCCCGACGACGACCTTCCACGGAGGCTAGGTGCTACAGAGGAAGGTAGAGGGAGGCCGGGGGTGCCGTAAGATGCCACGGCTGCGACCGTGAGCGGTGTGGGGGCGCGCGACACGCAGCGTGCACCGGGAAAACGCAACAAGGTAAATGTCCCCCTGCCCCCGTCTCGGCTTTATACCGTCCTCCTATTCCGTGCTCGCGACCCGTTTATCATCGCCGCACCACCTAAGCACCCACGCGTTTTCCGTTGCTAGGCTTTCTTCGGTGTGCTCGTGGCTCGCAATGAAGAAAACAATCCCGCACATAATGGTGTGAGTCTACGTTTATCTTCAGGAATTCGCAGAGTAGTTATATACTACTACACATAATGGAAGTCAAATAGAACTTAAATGGAGAAATTCATTCGCTAAAAAAGTTAAAAGCAAGTAAAACGAATTCTGAAAGCGATCCTGATGCTTGACTAATAGCAATCGCATGTTGGCCGCTGTATACCCAGATACTTTCTCCGGGTTGACGTGGCGTTTCGTACACTGCTGAAGTGGATCTCGGAGGCCGCGTCGAAAAAGAGCGCGCTTAGGATCTGCTCCGCCAGGTGCTCCACCAGGCGTTCCGCCAGTCGCAACCGTTGACAGGTTTTTTTGTCATCGAAGTAGATAAATTCATTTTCATTATTTACTGGGACGAATTATTGACGCTTATTTAAAGGTATCCTCCAACATTTACGTATACGATATAACTCCCAAGTTGAACCAGATCCACGAATTTCAATGTTCTAAAAGGCTTTATATGAATCTTCGGAAAACCATAAGTGCTTGGCCGCATATGCCTGAAATAGATACAAGACTGACACTCGATGCCCGCGTCAATAATGAGAGCCGAGCAATACACCTTGCGAAACACTATGCATTCTGTGAAGAAGGTAGCTGTTGTTTCCTTGATGCATACTAATGTCTTCAACACGTTACGGCACTCTGAGAATGTTAGGCAGTGTCTCTCACGACAATCACCGGAATGGTCATGAATAGTGACAAAAAAAACATTTTCCGCGTTATACTTTTTTATATTTATGCTTTGCGTGTGCTTTGAGTACAGTGTTTTCATCTAAACTTTTTTTTCCAGTACCATGATTTTTTTTCTGATGCATATATCACATTATATAACAGCTGCTCTAGTGCAACAGCAGAAGCGCAGCTGCAATAAACGTCATAGTGTGACTGGGCGAGTGCGAGAGCACTCACACCATTGCAGGAAATTACTGTATATGTGAAAATTAGTGCGTTGCCTTCATTGCGCGTTAAGGGATGACATAAACTGGTGAATTGTGCATAAATTACTTTCGATGCCTTCACCATTTCTGCACTAGAAATAAAACAAAATGCTTGTCTGCATTTTTGAATAGTGTTTCGTGTACTTCCTTTTTTTCTCGCAGATTTTATCCAAAGACGGGACCATAATGAAGACTCTGGGTTTTGTCTGCCTTTTCCTTTGGTTGGCCCTGGCTGAAGCTCGCTCAGCTGGCCCAAAGTGTCCTGGTGGTCACACTCAAATTTACCCGTGCAAGTGCGCCAGAAGCGAGGACGTCGGACTTCACATCGTGTGTGACGGCGTCAACTTAGCCATGATGTCTCGAGGATTGGGTAATATAGAGCATCCCATAGCTAACCTCACTATTACTGGATCTTCATTCAAAAGGTTGTTCGGTGACGTCTTCAGTGGATTACAAGTAATAAACCTAACTGTAGCTCATGGATCTCTTGCATCGATTGCCACGGGCGTTATGGATCACTTCAACGAGTCACTAAAGTTGCTCAGCTTTGAAGACAACATACTGCCTGAGATTCCCGTTGAGCTTATAAACAAGTTCAGAAACCTGACGTCCCTAAACCTAGCGTATAACAGAATCGAGGTTATACCTGCAAACGCATTCGGGGCCCTGAACATCCTATTTGAATTGCGTCTTCGATCACAACCTCATTTTCAAAGTCCACCCATCCGCATTCACGGGACTGAATCGGCTTGAAAGATTGGAGTTGCATCATAACAGAATGGAGAAGATAGAACGAAACACTTTTCGAGTCGCTCGCAAAATAAAATACTTGGACTTATCCCACAACAACTTCACAGCGTTCCAAAAGATCGACTTTAACCAGCTGACAAACATGTGGTTTTTAAACATATCTCATAACCGAGTGAAGACTTTTCCGCGTGGTATGTTCGTCGCCAACGCCATCCTTCGTGTCATCAACATGTCGTACAACGAACTTTCTGAAATCGATGCTAACACTGTGAAAGGCGTTAGGTTTCTTCGAGACGTTTACTTCAGGGGGAACAAGATCAAGTAAAGTACACAAACAAGCGTTCGTGTCTTCTAGACATCTTCGTACTCTCGATTTGGCCTTCAACCAACTGGAAGACGTGGGGTATGAGCAGTTCAAGGATTTTCAGTGGCTTGAAAAACTTGACCTCAGCTACAATAAGATTTCTAAGATTGCTAGCGCGGCCTTCTTGAAGATGTACCAAGTTCACATTGACCTCAGTCACAACAACATAAGCTTCATAGGAGACATGGCCTTCCAGGAACTGTCAAACGTTAGCGTCTTTGATATGTCGCACAACAACATTACTACATTACCGAAATATGCGTTTTACTTGTCTGACGTCACGGTTCTTCTACTCAATCACAACAATATAAGTGATTTCAATAGCGTACCTGTCGCTAATATAACCGGCATAAAAGTGCTCAACGTGACCTTCAACAAGATCAACGAACTTAACCGAAAGGCATTTACGAAGAAAAGGTTGTACGAGCTGCACACCGTCGACTTTAGTTACAACAACATCTCCGAAATATCCGGGTCATGTTTTCGAGAAATTGGCTGGCGTGCGATTCATAAACCTCAGTCACAACGTGATTAAAAAAATCGGCTACAGCACTTTTGGGTCGATTCCGACATTGCTCGAACTGGACATCAGCCACAACAACATCAGTGACGTCAGCCACGGTGGTCTCTCGGCCATGGTCAGCGTACGCCTGATAAGGGCCAACGACAACAAGATTAAGCGAATGTTCAATCTTCCCATAGCGTTGAACGAACTTCACTTGCAGAACAACCGGCTCACACATTTCGGCCCTGGAACATTCAGGTCGATGAATTCCATGTTAAGGCTTTACCTCGATAGCAACAATCTAACTCGGCTCGAAAGGGGGTCGTTCTCGAATCTGCTAACACTGCAGACGCTCTCTCTCGGAAACAACAGCATCGGCAGGGTACCATGGGAAGCGCTAGAAGATCTCAGCGCCCTTCAATACTTGTATCTCAATGACAACCAGATCAAAGCCCTCCCTAAGAAAGCGTTTGGACGCCTTCCTGTCGTGTTCGAGCTGAGACTTCAGAACAACCAGATCAACAACGTAAGCGAGTACGCCTTTGAGGGTATGCTCCAACTACTTCGCCTCAACATGAGCTACAACAACATCTCCTTCATACCACCCGACGCTTTCAAGGGCCTCGTGTCCCTCCATACCCTGGACCTTTCGCACAACTTGCTAAACAAACTCGAAAACAAAACCCACGGCCTCCTGGACGATCTACTGTCTCTGACTTCCATAAATGTCTCTCACAACGAGGTTGCTTTCGTGACAGAAAAGACGTTTCCTCGATCGCCTTACATTCCGTACAAGTTGAAGCACGTTGATCTCAGCCACAACTTCATTTCGGTGCTGACGAACAGCTTCGACGATGGCCTCGGGAAAGCGGAGTACCTCGACTTGCGCCACAATCTGATCAATGAAGTATACCCCAATGTTCTTAGAAATCTGACCAGCCTTAGACATCTCGACATGTCGTACAACGATCTGAGGCACATTGCCAACGGCGCTCTCACACTTCCGGAGAACGTTAGCTGGGCGGACTTCAGTCACAACAAGATCTTCTCGATTGACCTGCGGGACTTTCTGGCGTCTCAGCAGCTGCGACACCTAGACCTTCGGTTCAACAACGTGACTATGTTTGAAGAGATGTACATGGCCCGAATCAAGGATGGTCTTCGTCTCTATTACGAAGGTGAGAACTTGCCATTAAGTACAATCGTCATGGTTACTGCCCTAAAAATTCATGAAAGATATACACCTAATTAGTTAAGACTAATGAAGGCTCATTTTAAAGCATATTTTTTGTAAACTTTCCCATAACTTTTGTTCAAAGAATATGCAATCTGAAATCGCTAAAAAAAACTTGCCGACAGCTGAACTTCAAACATTTATTCGAAAGCAGGGTGGGATGTAGTATTTGAAACATTTGGTATGAGACCCATTGAGGTAGCGTGCATGCCGCCTCACAGCCACTGTGCTAAAAAGTAGAATATGCAGAAAACACCTTTCACATAAGTGATTTGGGTCATGATAAGAAGGCAAAGACGATTGCTTTTGAGTAAGATATTAAACACTCTTCGTTGGGCGTGCATAACCGGCTCACGTACGCAGCATGACTGCGGAAGAGAAATGCGCACGCGCACTGCCTAACTTATCTTTTCCGCGAATGTGTGCGTATACGCCCGAAAAAACAACAGCATAACAAACAAGTATTGCGGCCAAAGTTGTTTGAGGGGCAATTTTCACGTGATAGATGAAGGCTGGTGTAGTAGTATGTAGTAAAAACTTTATTGCACTAGAGAGAATTAGGGCGAAGTTGGGTGGTTATCCCAGTCCAGAGCTCCTCTGGACTTTGCGGCTCGCTGGGCCTGATCGAGCAGAGCAACTTAGCTCTCTCGATCCTTGCATTTGCGCAACCGCTCTCCTTTGATGCTGTAATTTTCTTACCACGTTGATCTTAGGGATATTTTTCGAGAGATTCACGACCGCGCCTGCGTAGTCAGGAGGTTTGCTGAAAACTTTGGAGCCTCCCTAGCAAACGGGAAAGTTGGTATGAGCGCGCGTACCCAACACTCGTGCATTTCGAGGCCTATTGCTCCTTGGAAAAAACCATCCAATTCCTGTTTCGGGCTTCATCCACCTTTCTTAGGATGTCTGATTGGGAGGACATAACTTGCTTCGACATGTCAGGCACGGGAAAACTCAGTACATTTGACGCTACCACGAGAACAGCAGCATGCGTCGATGCGTTAAAGTAAGAGAAAAAGAGAAGCTTGAGTCTATTCGTAATTTGTATTCGTAATGGCCCCCAGTATTGGCGTGGAAAATCTCAGAGGCTACGGCGTGCCACTGATGACCTAATCTGTCAGTATAGCGGTGTATGTAGCTCACGCTTGCGCCTGTTTTCCCGCGTCCTTGAAGTTTCCCCTAAATACACTAGAGGGAACTCTGGCGCTAGTCTCTGTGAGAGCTGAAACGCATGGCGCTTCGGCGAGCATGAAAATGATGGGTAAGAATGTGCCTAATATTCGTACTTTTCGATCTGTTTGCCTTCGCGTGGCTTCAAGCTGTTTTGTCATAAAAGAACAATGAGTTATACTGTATCAGTTTCGCTTCACCACCGTAATCTTTTAGGCTGACCAATTTGAATGGGGTCAAAAAATTCCGAATGGTTTTTTCTTTCATTCAAAACAAGACCGAAACATGGCAATAAACGAAGCCACAAGCTGCGTTTGAAGTCCACAAACACGAAGACAAGGCAAATCCATGCACTACCCACCATTACCTTGATCGCAGCGCCACAGTCTCCTGTAGTTACTTTTAGAAACCTCTACGTTCACGCCCATACTATGGCCGCGTATACGTCTACCGCGGCAGTGCGGGCAGCACCGGCTCGTAGCTGCGCGTTAGTGCACGTTCGTATGAAACTTTGTAAAACTAAAATAGGTTCCCATCAACTTAGCTCAATTACATTTCAGGCTAATGAAACTTAGCCAGGACCATAGAATAATTCATATCGCCTAAGAAATTCGTATGAGCCGTCATTATAACACCGATTTTTCACTGTATATTCTCACGGAGCGACACATGCGTGTGATTTCTATCGAGGCTTACCTCTGTGAGGGAATTGCTAATCGCAATTTAAGAATCGCGCCCTGTCACACAAACAATTCGATTGTGATCGATCCGAATTAGAATTTTTTGCCTTGGTCTTTCCTGGGCTGTTGCAGTCAAGCTTCGTTATTAAGGTTAGCTATTAGTGGGTGCTCGCCCCACTGCAGTGGTCTAGTGGCTAAGGTACTCAGCTGCTGACTTGCAGGTCGCGGGATCGAATTCCGGCTGCGGCGGCTGCATTTCTGATGGCTGGCGGAAATGCTGTAAACTCGTGTGCTCAGATTTGGGTACACGTTAAAAAACCCCGGGTGGTCGAAATTTCCGAGCTCTCCACTACAGCGTCTCTCATAATCATATGGTGGATTTTGAGACGTTAAAGCCACACATATCAATCAATAGTGGGTGCTCGATTACTAGAGGCTGGTTACGACGCGACAACGGAAACGCGTCGACCTTAAGGAGCTTCACCTCTAAAAACCCTTCATTAAGGGCTTAATCAATATGTGGCACAGGGAGTTGTGTAACGTGACGGCATCTCTTCGAGACGTGTTGCATAAGCATGATGTCTTTGCAGGAAACCCCTTAACCTGCGACTGCCACGTGAAGTACCTGCGCCAGTGGCTGAGTCACAACCCCCAGGCGACCGAGTGGAACAGCGTCGTCTGCCACTCTCCTCACCACTTGCACAAGCAGCCCCTCGTGGAGGTCAGCCCCGACCTCCTGGATTGCCTCACCGACGAGGAGCGTGAACTAAAAGGAGACGACGACGGCTCCGCGGTAGACCTGAAGTTTAGAATCGTAGATTCTCCGTCCAAGAGGACCATACGCTTTGCCTGGTACGTCGCCACGAAAGAGGACGTGTCCGGCTTCCGTGCTATCTTGAGTGACGTGTTGACCAGCAGCCTCATGAGTGAAACGGACATTCCCTATCGGTACAGGGAGTACACTATCAACGGCCTCGAGTCGTCGGTGGAGTATAGGCTGTGCTTAGTAGCGTTGGACTCCACCGGAGGAGCTCGCAGTCTTCCCATGCGCCAGTGCAGGACAGTTACTCCGGTGGGGGCTGCGACGAGGACGGTCAGCTCGGCGCCCGTCTTGATTGTTGTGCTTGCAGCACTTGCCACTGCATTTGTGTCAGAGTTGCGGTTCTCGAGTAGCACATGAGTGCATGGACTTCATGCAAAACTGACCGAGAGGCTTGTGCTTCACATGTGCTACCTCCACATAGTGCCACCTCCACATGTGCCGTCGTGGGGTCGTGCCGTGCGAGTGATTTTCAGCATGTGAAGTGAGGATCTCCTGTCCAATTATTGTAATGAGTAGGGGTGACCACTGAAGCTGTAAGAGGGCCCCTATGTCGTGTCGCATTTTGGGTATCATTCGATGCACAAAATACACTACCAATATTACGGAAGAATAAAAAGCAGAAAAGATATGATAAATCACAACGAAACAAAAAAGTGGTGTCTATAGCAAAAAAAAAACATAAGCAACAAAAATAATTTGCCCAAGATAGTCGGCTATCTCACTGTTCCCTCGTGAAAATCACTTACATTTAGTGATGCTAAATTCATTTGAACTTAGTTAGACAATGCCGTGGTTGTGGTCTTGTTTGTGTGCTGGTTCATTTTTCACATTCTCGTCATCTGCACCACCATTGTTATGCTGTGTTCATGTTACTGAGCATTTACATTGTGAAAGAGTTATTGTCCTTGCGCACATTATGCTCATCGTTTAGAGAAAGCTTTCACATTGAAACACATATATATCAATCATGCCAGTCGGCACGATATGTGTACAAATAGCGCATGAGATTTACTGTGGTTTAAGAACAGCTAGCCTATGTAGAATAAATGTATATTTACTTTAGTTCAGAATTTATATACCAATACTAGTTGCTACTTGCGCGCTAAGTCTACCTACCACAGTAATCGAGGCCGCCGTCTCTGCGATCAAATTTTGAAATTTTACATTCCTATATGAACTATGCTGGTGAAAAAAATGGACAAGTGCGAATTGATGCCACAGTCTCATCATCACATGCGAGAATGTTTTCATGTTACTTGCACGATTTACCTTTATTTATATTACTATCAGATGCTGGCCTCAGTTCTCCTCATCCACCCATAAGTTGCTGAAACCATCATCAGGTATGCTCTGAATGCGAATAAACATACATAAAAGATACTAGTGCAGTGGTGAATCACCAATGCATTTCAGTCTGTATCGGCTGCCTGCCTAATACCAGGCGTAGGTAATAAACCCCTCGCACAAGGATCCAATTGCCAGATTCGTGTTGTCTATATGACACGTAGCAACATTTACAGTAACCAACTGGAGTCGTCTGTAATTCTTGGAGAGAATATTCTAAATACTTAACCTATTTGCACTTTCTAAAAAAAATCACTTATTGCTTGAAGTCAGTGAAGAACTCATCCCTTGTTCCGGGCATCAATTTATATGGTTCCGTTTTTATTTGTTGTCCACATTTTCAAGAAGTGTGCAGGGATCTGTGTTGGTGAAGAGTCTACAAACCTGCGCACTACGTGCGTGAACATATAAATGCTACCCTTTTTTACGGCACAGCTTTTTTTGCGCTGTGCCACAGTGATTTGGTGCCACGGCATACGTGTGCAACTTTTACTGCATCCGTGAGGTGTCCATGTTAATAAACATTTTAAAACAGCACTCGTTCTTGCCTGTTCTCAAAATTGCGAGATCCAACTATGGACTGCACTGCATATGTGACTTTCACATAAAGCGTCTAGTACAGCCGAGGACAAAATCCGAAGTCTACAGCAACAGAAGTCTTCACGTGTTCTTCGCTTTGTAATAGTCTGAACCACCTAGAGTTCAACGGAGACCCTAGCATACCGATGCTATACTCGCAAGACCTTCAACATTTTGCCAAACTTCCTGCGATGTTGGATGCACCTGTGTTTCATCAAAATATATCTACAAGCAATAATGTGGGAGAAGAAACGGTGGAAAATCAGCACTCAGCTAGATGGTTGCTGAACGACACTACAGAAGAGGGAAAAAAACAAAAGCTTGCTGTCGTTTTATTCAAACCAGTAAATACCGTGTGCGGCAGTTTTTAAACGCGAAAGCTCAAGAGAAAAGTGTGATTCAATTCCACTATGGCATGTGCTTAGGGACCACCTTTTCGCTATTTCAAAAATGACAGATGGAGCTAAGAATCCAGCTTACACATGAGTATCTATTTATTATTTTACTCTATGGTGAATTAAATTGATCCATCTAATCCACGTAAAAATCAACGCTGAATGTAGCTTTATTATTTTGTTGCATTTCCAGCATTTGGTGGCTTAAACAAACATTTAGAAGCTGAAAGTGTCTAAAATATTATTAGTATCCAAACCTTAAAACGAAACAGATAGACAGATACTGTCACAATGTTTAACGCACGCACACACACACAATAGACTATTTGAAACGTTCGTTAGCATGTTTCCTTCAAGAGTGCAAATGGCACTTTCGTCGTGCGTACTGCACACGTGGTACATTGTCATTGGCCCAAACCACACCGCAGTTTAACACAATAGCCCCACCACGGTGGTTTAGTGGCTAATATACTCGGCTGTGGACCCGCCGGTCTCGGGATCGAATCCCGGCTCCGGCGGGTGCATTTCCGGTGGAGGAGGAAATGTTTTAGGCCCGTGTACTCAGATTTGGGTGCACGTTAAAGAACCCCAGGTGGTCGAAATTTCCGGAGGTCTCCCCTACGGTGTCTCTCATAATTGTATGGTCGTTTTGGGTCATTAAACACCACATATCAATCAAGTATTAACACGATAGTATTAAAGAGCTCGTTTCACCAAATTTACGACGTCATCGTCGGTAACGGCGTCACTGGTTGGGAGTGAAAAATAATCTCGTCCGTGACCAAAAAATGAGCGAAATCTAAACGAAATAAATGATACAAATATTTGGGTTTGCTATTACGCTTTCGGGTGCTGCGGGTATCTGATGAATATAGATAAAATAAGCGATTGAGCATAGGCCGTCTGCGTGGAAAACAGGTGTTCTACCATTATAGAGTCAATCTGCTTCTTTAGCTGTTTCGGAATAAAAAACTATATGAATGTTATGTAGAAGAGGTAGTCTCATTAACGGAGGGGCTTAGCCAAGAGTGGCACAGTCAGCCCGTGCCCCCCCCCCCCCCCGCACCGAATTTTTTATCATGTCGTAAAGAGCAATAAATGGTCATTTCAAGGAGGCGATTCTCCTGAAAGAAGAAGGTGCTCCCCCCCCCCCCTTCCCCGAAAAATACTTCTGGCTACGCACCTGCCTTAGCGCATGCAATATTCCGTAACAGAAGCGTAGAATCACGCCAGGCATCAAAACACGTGAAATGTGCAACGATTAGGCGTTTTAAAGGTCTATTCGTTACAAAGCGCACTGACATACTTGATCACCCCATCAGCAGCAAGAACATCTACAATGTGGACAGCTGCGAAGGTTCGCGTGTTGCCCTACGCGCGCGCAATGGGCTCTTAGCTGATTTGCAACAATATGATTTATGGATGTTGTACGGTACTTTTAAATGGTCAATGTTACGTGCACAGTCGTTTGTTTTCTTACGGCACGTTTCAGGCATTCACTGAAAACCAAAGCGCAAGAAAAGGTGATGCGAACGCGGCCCGATTTGGCATCGCATCCTCAAAGTCCTTTTATGAGAGTAGCTCCTTAGGCCGCACTCCGTCGTCACCGTCGAAGCTCCCTGCGCCGGGAAAGTGTGCCGGGCAAAACAACAAGTGCGCGCACATATGATAATGAGAGACGCCGTAGTGGAGGGCTCCGGAAATTTCGACCACCTGGGGTTCTTTAACGTGCACTCAAATCTAAGCACACGGGCCTACAACATTTCCGCCTAAATCGGAAATGCAGCCGCCGCAGCCGGGATTCGATCCCACGACCTGCGGGTCAACAGCCGAGTACCTTAGCCACTAGGCCATCGCGGCGGGGCAAGATACCTTTCTCGAGGCGAGATGCAGCAACGCCAGTGTCGGCACACGCCCTGGCGCCTCCAACGATCCCTCTGGACAGACCTTAGCCAACAGTATGGGCCTCTGTACAAGATTGATCTATCGTGCGACTTCAGGATGCCGTGAAATCTCAACAGGCAAGATGAAACATGTTTACACCGCATGCAAATAAACGTTGCATATACGAACTACTTCAGGAACGAAATTGGACTGTCCGACTCATCATTGTGTGCCCAAGGTAACGTCCTTGAAGACATCAATCATGTCCTCTGTGAGTGTACGAAATACGCATCAGAGAGACAGTCTCTGAAGATGGGCTTAAAAGTACAACAGGACACAAATTTGGAGCATCAGAAAGACAGTCTCTGAAGATGGGCTTGAAAATACAACAGGACACAAAATTTGGAGTTAAAAAATATTCTAGGTCTATAGCAGGACACTTCCTGTGCGTTAGACTCTACAAAAGCGCTACTGACGTTCTTACGGGCCACAGGCTTGAACGAAACGTTGTAAATTGTGCAGTGCGTGTGAGAGACTTTATGTGTTATGTGACTGTTATGCGTGTATGTTATGCGTGTTGTGCGTGTATGTGTTGTGTGTTTATCATTGCATATATTAATGTCATCACCCGGAAACTAGAGTAGCCTGTCAGGTGAGAAACTAGGCAAACCTCTCCAGCTTCCATTAAAATAATTCTCTCTCTCTCGCCCAACGCTTGCATTTGTAAACGAAACTGGTAGTTTTTTTTTAGGCAGGAGTCACCTTGAAGATTTAAAGTGAAGCAGTCTCCACTAAAGTCAAATATGAAACCTATTATGCCATTCACAAAAGCGAGCAGTTGGGGAGCCGTAGCAAATCTCAAATAGAATATACTTAGCTGTAACATAGGCAACACGTACACCTGCGATCTATACAGCTGTGCCATAGTTGTTTTCAATGCTTATTCTCTGAATAGAAAGGAAAGTAACGGTTGCGTGCTTCGTACAAAAATATACTATACTGGTGAATTCGTTCCAAATATGTAAATCAATTAACAACAAAAACAAAAACGACGCAGTGCTTAGTGCCAGATGAGAGGGAGGAACCAACCAGTGCCGTTTATTACATTTCTAGGCAGTGTTGCCTGAAAGTGCGTAGACAACAGTTACAAGGAACAGGAAATATGCATTTTCGAAACACGCCCTTTGATTCGTACCGCACTTCAGAGGCTGCATTGTTATTTTGTTTTCAACTATAGGCGAAAGACTAGTAATGCGCGAATTCATACGGGTTCCTCCAGTGCGTCAAAGCCACGAAACACGTGAACGTGCCCACCATCTTGTTCGAAGGTGTAATAATAAATTTGTTTAAAGGTAAGAATAACGATTGAAGGAGCTTTCTATTAAGGGAACGGGAAGACTCACAAGTGCTCGGTGTTCTTCACGGCAATATCAAAGTTCCATTTACGTATCTACTGTATTCAGTTACACAGACATGCCACAAAATTGTAAACAACTCGCAGTAAATCTTTCTTAGTTTATTCGTGTATTTTTCATTGTGAAATATATCCAGCTATCCCCAGTGGTGCACTATACGCGAAGGGCACAATGACTAATGCATTTAGTGGTTTCAAAAATGCACGTAGCCTAACATACAGATATATCTTGGTTGTGCCTATACTGATACTCCACAACAGATCTGGGCTATGCTACGAGGCTTGTATAACGTTACTGAAACAGCTGTGAACATTAAACAAGCACACAAACATGACCCATGCACACACGCGCGCGCCTGTGCGAACGCACGTATTATAGCAACTCCCCCTAGGAAAACTATGCCTGGAACGCCGCTCTCTTTACATTGGTAGCCTCCTGCCAGCCCGCAATCTCGGAGGCCATGCCTCCTGCCTTGTGTTGCGACCGGCCGCAGCGTGAGACCACTCGCCTCCGTATCCGCTCAGCCACGTGAAATAACCGTTACCACTCTGTCACGTGACATCACGGCTGCTCGGAGGTAACTGTGAGAGCACTGCTGTGTTCGCAGGGGGCGGCCGTCGGAGGCACTCGCCTTCGTACCGAAGGAGGAGAGTAAAATCAGAGGGCAGGTCCGCGCAGTCGCAGCTCACGTTCCTGGCATAATTTTTCAGGAGGCGTTAAATATAGCAACACCCGGTGACAACTTATCTCCACATTGGCTACGGAAGCGCTGCTTCCGCACATTCCTGTTAATCCACAAGTAGTACGGCAGATCGGGGATGATTTCGGTTTCGCTTGCTGGCATTGTTCACGCGTTCAGAAAATCACATACACGCGAATTTGAATGGCAGAGACATATCGATGGTTCAGTGTATATTTTAGTGTCATGTGACAAGTATATTTTTTCTGATCGAACTTAACAGCACCCTTGTGGCCGCACAGTGACCCACTACGTCACGGATGCCATGTTCACTTTGAAAAACAGGTGTGCTGGAAAGGTGGTGCTGTCCAAAAAATGAAAACTAAAAGAATGATGCATAGCGAACAGCACCTGTACTTTGCCGACGACTTATCGCTAGTATTCAAGTTTCATAATGAATCAAGCCGCGTTTATTTTAGACAAGACAAATGAGAAAATTGTGAGTTCACCTAAGCACAGTTTTGTTTCTTTTTTTTTTCTTTTTGGCGCGAATGCAGGCACGCGTTTCAGTACCCTTGTTCCTCAGC